TTAAGAAAACGTTTTATTCATACCAAACCATAAAATAACCATTTAGAAACGTTGCTAAAACGTTATGTGTTAGCTGGGATATAGACTAAAAATAGTCAAATTCCGAAGCCTAAAGTTCATGCGAAGTACACAAACTCTCCATGTTTGTTGTGTTCGATTTTCTAGGTCATGCTGTTAAACCTCTGCTAATTCGATAATACTGGGCATCCCGACCAATCAGCGATCGCGTGTAATTAAATATGATAATTTATAGGAATAATGGGCGGTCTTCAGAGACCGCTGATCTTTGATGTTTTGATCGTTGATTTTTGATCTTTGATTGATTTGATTGATTTTTGAGATTGATCTTTGGACTTGTTCCGATTTACTACGCATCAGTGTATCGAAACGAGTAAAAAATATAATTTTTAAGAATACCTTAGAATGCACATCACCAAATTGCACCATCCCCCCCCCTATAAAAACGTCCCCACATCCGAGTCATTCCCTTTGCTATGACAGAAATCCTGGACCAGTGCCTACTGACCAGGACCAGTACTTCCTCAGAGGTACTGGTCCTGCTGGACCAGTGCCTCCAATTATCAGTTTTCCACCCTGGTAGTAGGCGAGGTACAGTTCGGCATATTAGGGTACATTCCGGTATACGGGACAGTACCAAGGTTATGTTCCGGCAATACCCAGGGAGACATAGTTCTGACGAGCCTCGCTTTGTGGTCAGTGTGTTGCTTCCGGTCGCTGCTGTGTAGCGCCATGGTAGCGCTGACTCACTTTCGTGCTACGTGAGTTTACTATACATCCAGCGTTAGGTAGGCACAGGCGGGGGTTATCACTATGGCAATCAATAACAGACGTCATTTATTCCATTTGTCAATCATTGACGGAAACAAGCGAGGTTTCCCGAAGTTATCTCAAAGCGAGAGACACCCGCAGTAAAAACTGATCTAGAGTCAGGTTTTAGGCAAAAAATTTGGCTAAATTTACCTCCTTTTTAAATGATTTCTTGGCTGAGATAGCTGGAGAAAACGTACCCCTTTTCTAGAGAAATTGGAAACACAGGTGCGGTGCATTCACACTCACGAGTGGGGAAGCTGTAGTTACTTAAAGGCTCACAATGCGCATCCAAACGCTAATTTCTCCAGTACTAGACTAGCAAATACTTCGTGTCATGCGTAATCACACTACCTTATGGCGAAATAAACTATAGTTCCTCCCATTTCACTGCACGTTTGCTTAAAACCCACAAAAAAGAGGTGCGAAATCTGGTAATCTGGCGCCAGCGCCGAATTGTTTGCCAACCACGAAGCGGTTAGGTGACGTCACATGTTTTTATCTTTGCTACACCTGTACCGCTGTACTGCAGCACCGCTGTACGGTTGCTTGACAGTGCAAGGCAAAAGTGTCAACAACATCGGAGAATTTGAACAACATTGGAGGTATTTTCAAATACCTTTTATAAGACAACGCGCAGTGAAATGAGCGGAACTAGAGTTTATTTTGTCATAAAGTAGTATGATTATGCATGACACAAAGTATTTGCTAGGTTATTACTAGAGAAATTAGCATTTGGATGCGCATAGTGAGCCGTTAATTAGTTACTAACGCTGATAGGGTCTTTGTCCTCCAGGGTACTATTGGAATTTGGAGGGTACCCTGGGTACGGTTCATATATCGGAAAGTACCTCAGGGTACTATACAATATGTTGCTGCGTACCCTGCATTGTCCCACCGTACCCTGACTTTCTGCCAACTGATCATGAAAATTATAGAGAACCATAAAATTGTAATTTTTAGTGGATAACAACATTTTACATTAGTGGATTCGAAGTCGTATTCCAATCAATCAATCGCGTGCGACGCAGTTGATCACCACTTGTTGTTATTTAGCAACGACTCTGTGATGGGTCACAGTAACGGCGGACCGTTCGCTCGCTATATTCATCTGCGAGCAACATAACACTCGCATATCCTACATAGGGCCGGTGAGCGACTGCTGCTCGTGCCAGTACGAGCTGCAGTACCAGTACCAGGTGCAGTACCTTCTGCTCGTGCTCAGGCCAGTACGTTTAGCTACAGTATCGTGTGCTGGGTGATGCACATGCGCAGGAGAAGCTTCTGATGTCAGACGTACGCAAAGCGTGACTTATGAAAACCATGATAGGGTTCCTTTAAGACAACATAAGTGTTTTTTATGCTTTTGGTTCGTGTAGTTAATTTTCAATTGTATGCAGCTTATTAACAAACAACTTTTAATAATATTTTTTGCAGATTTGAATATATCTTCAAACAACAGTTAGCAGAAATTGGATGATCATGTTTGCCTAAGAAGCTATAGATAGCTAGTGACAGCACAAGGGGTTTCCATGGACCTTCTATAGATATAAGTAATGTGTCTTCTATTTATCTAGAAGATCTAGAAGGATGCAGTTCCCATTATATGTATAGTTTAAATATTTTGTCTGGAACTGTAGAGTTATATACAACTCGGAGGTTTGTAAACCCACAATTTCCTATAAATTGTCAAGTACTGTTTAATTGGCATGCATGCCCTAAAGGTCTTACAATATTTAGGCAGTGTATAGTACAGCTTCATGAAGCAGAGTACGTAACACTTTATAAAACAAATTCTGCTGTTGTAAGGTAGAAATATGTAACCTAGCAAATAATATCTACTCTGTTAGGTTACATGTTTGTATCAACGTTGCCATGTATGTACGTGCATTGAAATAGTCATGTTATAGATACCTACGTAGAATATGTATGTTGCTAATGAAATCAAATGTAGCTATAGGTTTATTCAGGTTAATGCTATGGGCTGGTTCAAGTAATTCAAAATTTCTTACACTGTATGCGTTTTGCAACTGTATTATAATAAATGACAATATGTAAATTTTATTCAGTTTTAATCTATTTTAAATTTGAACCTCATTATGATATCATTGATTTCATAAGATATTATTGAACCTCATTATATATATCAAATTTCAACCTACATTATAATTAACT